AAGGGGGGAAAAAAAAGAAAAAGGAAAAAAAAAAAAAAAAAGATGAAAGATGTAAAGTGTTGTAAATAAGATGGTTGATGATGGTACAGTAAGACTGACCCCATTTTGTATTCAGGGTTAGGTCATTCCTCTCTGCATGGTGAAGAGAGACACTATTTTTATACTGTGATACCATGTAGGGCTAGGAGCCTCCCTGAACCAGCTGGGAATTGTTACTTAGATCCAATATTTTTTATTATTAAATCTTGTTGGCTTGACACACCTACTGATTGAAATGGATGTCTTAGTCTAGGTTACTATTTTTGTCATATGGAATTGAATAAAATGCAGGATGTAATATTATTTCTGAATTGCGTTCCTTGATTATTCTAATAACAGTGTGAGATACGAGAATAAGGTCACTTGTGGTAGATTGGTGTCAATGACTTCTAATCGTTGCATCTGAAAACTGGAATAAGGTTGACACCTTGTATTTAAATGCTGCTCTAATGTATATTAGCGGTGCAAAGGGGTAGAATTATCCGAGTCTCTTTTCCAATAAAAATAAATCCTCAGAGCATTTCATGCAAGACAGTAGAAGAAAAAAACAAACAAACAAACAAACAAAAACATTTTGGAGGAAGGAAAACAGCCTTTGAAAGTACTACTGCTTCAAATTGACTGCATTCTGCACACTTTTTATGTTCTGTTTACAACAGAAGGTTCATTTTCACGTTATTTAAACATCTACCTAAAATCCATTACGTGCTGCGTGATAAAAATTTGAGAACAAATTTATCAGAAGTTCAAATTCAAAAATTCAAAATTAAGAACAAAATTAACAACTCGCATCCATTCATTCCAAATGACATATTGTGTATAATAAAACCTATGGCTTTTTTCTTTAGTTTTTCAAGACCCCAATTCATCGAAGCAACTTTATCCAAATTATTTTTTCATGTTAATTTGAATGTAAGTATTTACATTCTCGAGGCTAGGCATATGATTAAGTATCTCCTGCAAAAACCTCTACCTTCAAGCTGCTCTGATCTGGTGACGGATGCCTGCTGCATTTAAAACGAACAAAAAATAAAGCAAAGAAAAATCTGAATGAACGATCTTTTAGTGGCCTTGCTATGAAAATACTCTGTTTTATAAGGTCTACTCAAAGAAGGTTCCACGAGTTTCCTCTGGTGACTCAACAACAGGTTTATGCTTGTGCTTATGTCCCTGCATGCACATCTCTGAGCTTTGCTGAGGGAAAGCCTGACATGCAAAAAAAAGAGAGGGCTCTGATAGTTATAATACTGTTCAAAACACTGAGAAAAGTTTTCTGCCCTCCCATCCTCCCCCACCAAATAGGATGAAAGCAGAAATGCTATCTATTCTTAAATAAGCAGTGGGGGATTTTTTGTTCTTAGAGGAAGACGTTAAAGAATTTGAATAGTTAAATGTGTTACACAGGTAAAAATGGTCAAAGTTGGCTGAATTACAGATGTTTAAAAATAGAGCCATGTAGGAATTCTGTAATCAGAAAATGATGCAAGTTATGGTATTTTTGTGGGAGGGTTATTTTACGTTGTGAAAATTTCAAACTCTTCACATATTTTTTTTCCACAAATGATTAGAAGTAGAGTATTTATGACAAATGAGTGGCATAACTACTTTTTTACCTGTATTTTTTTCCTTTCTTTTTTTCTCTATGTGCTTATTAGCCCTCAGTATAATAGCTATTCCTTTATCTATTTTGTCCTTTCTATCTTGGCAAATATTTTGCATCCCTTCAGCTGCATTTGTTTTGTGTTTCTGTTGCCTTTGATTTACTTCTCTGCATGTACTCTGCCATTTGGAAGATACTGTGGGTTTTGGTTGTGGGTTTTTTTTTTTTTTTTCCTTTTTCTCTAATTCTGCTAAAGTCAAAAGTTGTACCTTTTTTTTTCATTTTATTTTCAATTTATTTATTTTACACCTGTGTGTAATGCTGGCATAATGAATGATGATGTCACCAGTGATGTGATCAGGTATGCGTATAGCTCACAGGATGTCCTAACAAATGTGCCATTCACACTTTTCTTTAGATGAAGATGTTAAAAGTTCGTTAGTGTGCTGGTACAGAGCAGCCACAGATATTCAGGAGAATGGAGACTTTCATCCTAACTTCACCACACCTGCTGTTACACCGCTGGAAACTCCATGGCCTTCAATGGAGATACTCCCAATGATTAGCTATGTAGTATATTGAAAGTATGTCTAGACAAAAGTATTCTGGACTTTATTTTTAAAAAGAGGGAAGAGATAATACGTATATTTTAGTACACACTGCAAGATTATTCCCGTTTTAAAGGAAGTCATGGAATCTGAATCTAAAAAACATGACTGTGCCCCTTAATATAGAATGTGATGTGAGAACATCATGTGAACAATCAGTCCCTTCTCATACAAATGACTAAAAGAGCCTATAACTTTTATGTATTAAGCAAAAAAAAAAGTGAAAAGCTTGCTGCAAGATTGCTACACACCACGCACACTATGCTTTTCTTTTGCATATCTTAAAGGTATCAGCAGATTAATTAAAAGAATAACATTTGTGCACGCCACGGCTCCGACGCATAGTATTTTATTTTTTCAAGAGGCAGAACAGCTCAATCAGTTGACAAAGTGACAAATCTGAAAGCCAAAAGCTTTGCGTTGTGCCACTGACATATTTTCAGAGAAGTGGGCAGGTCTCTAATTAGACTTTGATTCTCCCTGACAGTTAAATACTCCTGGGGCCCTTGGGAATCTGGGAGTGAACTCCCTCTGCAGAGTCAACTTGTAGCACCTTGTAGAAGTGGGATGAGTTGCACTGTCAGTAAAGATGGGAAAATACTTTTGTACCTACCTCACAG